TATTATGCTTGTGACAGGAATGGGTCGGCTCGACCAGTAAAGGACCACGCTCTCACAGAATACCAGCGTAAAATAGCAGCTTAATGCTGCTGTGTTTCGTATGGTGAGTGTAGAGAACATTAGACCCTTTTTTACTGGAAACGAGGCATTCCATCTTAGTCCTCAGGGGTAACAACGCATCTGCGTGTTGATTCTTAAACGAGGATAAATGTAGATGTCTATGGGCCAAAGCATCCACTTACCACCAGGTGGACTGTATGCTCGTTTGTCACCCTTGAACCATTTTATAAAAAAAAAAGGTAGTACGCAGTAATGCTGTATAATATTCAAGAGATTAGAGGATTGTTCGGCATGCATATATACATATCCAATAAGGTAAATTAAACAAGTAATTATATTTATATGCATATTTCCTCAATCTTTCGAAGAGATGTTTGCATTAAAGAATCGTTAATAAAATGCCCTTCGCAAAACGTCCTTCGTCATGTAGGTCTAGGCATTTTCGAGGAAAACGCACGTGTCATTAAGACTTAATTCGTACTCCGTTCCCTCCCTTGACCTCTCATTACGGCCGTCGCGTCGCATCGGTCGCGCGGAGCTTCGACTCGCGACCTGCTTTTTGATTATTTTCATAATCAATTTGTTTATCGATATGCGTATGTGTCTCTTCTGTAGAGGAAAACCTACGTCAACTACGCTATCTAATAACCTTTGCTGATAAAATAGTTTGACGTCTTAAATTCGAATCTCGTCTCTAGAAAGACCTATTGCGTCGAGGACTTCTAAGTATATTGTGGAATATTCTGGAATTTGACTCGAATCTATGACTTCGTCGTATTATTAAATGATTAATTGATGATGTTGGGCTTGGGTCAATTATGGATAGGTACCTATATAGTTAAGTGACGGCTCGGTATATATTGTGGAATATTCTGTAATTTGACTCGAATCTACCGGCATTTACATTGTTGATAATCGGAACAAAAGGTGCATAAACGTTACAAATTAAGGGATAAAAAAGTAATAAAGGTAGCTCAGGGGCTAGAAGCTTGCCGTAAATCTAACAGTACGTGAATAACGCGGGTTCGATCTCCATCAGCACCAGTAAATTTTTTAATTGCTATTCAAAGTGTTGAATTACTACAAGCTCGACGACGAAGGAAAATATCGTGAGGAGACCTGTATGTCTAGGAATAATAATATTTCAAACATATATGAAGTTCTTCAACGTGATCTGAGGCGGCGTGGCAAACTGATTGCTCTGTAATCATCTCAGAAGTTAGAAGAAGTCTGTGCACAGCTGAGCGACGTATGATCTTTTTATAAGTGCAATAATTTTGTACTAATTTTTTCGTTGTATTGCTTACTAGTTGTTCCCCGCGACTTCATCTGCATGTAATTTAGGGTTTTAATATTTTTGAGCGGAACCCTAATTGTTTGTCTGTGTATCCGTCTGTCCGTCTGTCTGTTTGTTCCGGCTAATCTTCAAAATGGCTGGACCGATTTTGACAGGTCTCACTGGCATATAGCTGATGTTATAAGGAGTAACTTAGTCTACTATTTTTTTAGAAAAATGATTAGAGTTTCGTGCGAAAAAATTAAAACCCATGAAATCCAGTCTAAAAAATTCCACGCGAACAAATTTGCGGGGAACAACAGCTGATGAATTAACTATCGACATAAAAAATATAAGTTATTAGCCGTAAATTTATTGTTTTCAACTTGTAAACGGCAGTAAGCTAATTGAGCTATTAGATATTTCTTATTATAGAGATTGTTTTAATAAGCTATAAAATCTCTCGGCCTCGTAATTAGTATGCCTTCAATAATGAAGCCATTTTTTGCAGCTTCGTCCCTCGGTGCCGCCATAACTATGCCGATCTGCGGGTTCCTCATCGCGCACTTTGGTTGGGAATCTGCATTTTACTTCACTGGTAAGTTATTAATTATTATCATTTACTCAATTGTCACTATCATGCGTTCAAAACTTACATTGAATTTATTTGCGATTCGAGCCTAGGACTGGGCAGATACGTCAATCATGATGTATTATTATCTATATTTACCCAAAGACTCAGGCATCCACAGAAGGACAAGAGTAACTGTCATAGCCCAACGGTTCATTAAGTTGAAATGACATTGGCTGTCTAGGTATAAAGACCCGAAAATCGATGGGGAATACTGGTTCTCGAGTGGCAGCCTAGAAAACGCAGTGTTGCAGTCCCGGGTTCGATCCCATACCGTTCTGCTAAAACCAGCCATAGACTTTTCTGTCAAGAAATTCTCAGTAGCAGGTCGGAGTTAGAAAGTTGGCAGTGTCTCGGAAAGCAACATAAAGCCGTTAATTCTGTGCGTGATCTCCTTTCATGAACACTAATCCTAGGCGGTGAGATTAGCTGCTGTAGCTAAAATCTACTCTGGGGGGTATTACTACAGAACACGACACATCGGGGTTCGATCCTGCCCGACACTAATAAAACTGTTAACTTCACGTACTGTGATGCCATGTCCGCTGCGGCAAGAGTAAACATCTTGAGCAAACCTACATGTCTAAGAAATATCGAGGACATTCTATGTTTTGTTTACGTTGTAGAGCCATGCTGCAGCTATATTAATTGTATAGTTGTAGCACGAGTGGGTCGGCTCGACCGAGGAAGGACCACGCTCTCACAGAATACCAGCGTCAAATAGCTTAATACAGCTGTGTTTCATATAGTGAGTGTAGAGAACCGCAGACCTTTTTTACTGGAAAAGAGGCATTCCATCTTAGTCCTCAAGGCTGACAACGCATCTTCATTTTGATTCGCAAACGAGGATAGATGTCTATGGACCACAGCAACCACTTACCATCAGGTGGACTGTGTGCTCGGTTGTCACCCTTTTCCTATATAAAAAAAGAGGCATTCCATCTTAGTCCTCAAGGCTGACAACGCATCTTCATTTTGATTCGCAGACGAGGATAGATGTCTATGGACCACAGCAACCACTTACCATCAGGTGGACTGTGTGCTCGGTTGTCACCCTTTTCCTATATAAAAAAAGAGGCATTCCATCTTAGTCCTCAAGGCTGACAACGCATCTTCATTTTGATTCGCAGACGAGGATAGATGTCTATGGACCACAGCAACCACTTACCATCAGGTGGACTGTGTGCTCGGTTGTCACCCTTTTCCTATATAAAAAAAGAGGCATTCCATCTTAGTCCTCAAGGCTGACAACGCATCTTCATTTTGATTCGCAAACGAGGATAGATGTCTATGGACCACAGCAACCACTTACCATCAGGTGGACTGTGTGCTCGGTTGTCACCCTTTTCCTATATAAAAAAAGAGGCATTCCATCTTAGTCCTCAAGGCTGACAACGCATCTTCATTTTGATTCGCAGACGAGGATAGATGTCTATGGACCACAGCAACCACTTACCATCAGGTGGACTGTGTGCTCGGTTGTCACCCTTTTCCTATATAAAAAAGAGGCATTCCATCTTAGTCCTCAAGGCTGACAACGCATCTTCATTTTGATTCGCAAACGAGGATAGATGTCTATGGACCACAGCAACCACTTACCATCAGGTGGACTGTGTGCTCGGTTGTCACCCTTTTCCTATATAAAAAAAGAGGCATTCCATCTTAGTCCTCAAGGCTGACAACGCATCTTCATTTTGATTCGCAAACGAGGATAGATGTCTATGAACCACAGCAACCACTTACCATCAGGTGGACTGTGTGCTCGGTTGTCACCCTTTTCCTATATAAAAAATGTAGTACAATGTAGGTGTATATACTGAAGCAGTAGCGCGTGTCCAGCTACAGGACTTCATATGAACCTCTCACAAGTTGGATGCATGGATCTTCAACACTCTGTAAATAATAGTGGACAATTTAATAGTTCTCTAAAATGTTTATGTCCAGGTATAATCGGAGTGATGTGGTCCGTGGCGTGGTTCGCCGTGGTGTACGACACGCCCGCACAGCATCCGCGCATCTCTGAAACGGAGCGCAACTACCTGCTTAAAGCTTTGCCGCAGGAGAACAACACTAAAGGAGTGAGTTGTTACAACATTAAGAGTAGCTTTAAGTTCCGTTACAGTTACATGCTATCAGAAGTCCACTGCTGAACATAAGCCTCCCCTACCTCATGGCGAGGATATTTGCCAGAGCAGTTGAACTTGGCAAGCGGTATAAAGAATCCACTAGATGGAAATCTGCAGTTTGTGAACACGTTTATCAGATTTGATAAACCACAAATCTTCGCTGAAGAACATCAGTTCCTTTCAAACATGATCCGCGAGGCAATTGAAATAAAAAAAAACATCCTTATTCCAACAGAAAAAATGGCTGGATGCTGCCGTCCGCTTGGGATTCTATAATTAATAAAATTAAAACCCAACCCAAGCATACAACTGCAAGACTTCAGGATACTATAAGCTGATTTTGTGTAAATCGGGTCAAAAAATAAATATTATACTGAATGTAGCCCTGGTTGACATTAGGACGTCGAACACCTCAGTTCCCCGTAACCATGGGTATTATAAAGTGCTCGAATCGTCGGAAATATAAGTTAATATACGTGATGACAACCGTAAAATTACTTTCAGCCAATGCAATATCAAACTACATTTATATTTTGAATAAACTAAAGATTTACTGTAAACTGCTGCCAGAGACTTACTTTGCAATACAATCGAACTGGTATAGTTTACTCCATTGGAACCGTTGGGCTGTTAATTCAAATGCCATTCAACTGTACTGAGATGTAAAGAGTTATGTTTTATTAGACATAAAACTGTTTTACTGGCGTTCACTTTCTCTAAGGAAAGCGGGGAATAAATTGGTTTTAAACTTTAATATTTATCGTTGGAGGAAATTTCACACTGGTTTCTTTAGTGTTCTAAAAACTTTATTTAACATATAGAAGATTCGTGCAGAATTCCCGACAGTAGACTCCATTAAATATTAATAAAAGTAATTATGATTTTTAAAATAATTAAGTGCCATACAAACACATAGTCCTCTTACATCTAGCTTCGATTAAGAATCTAAATGCAGATTCGTTGTTGTCTCATCTCAGTAATGTGAAATATCTTGACTTTTCGAGGTACAGCTTAGAGAGCCCAATTCTAGCATACCCGAGATCTGAAGGAAATGTAAAAAGTCAGACAGCTCGCGGAGCAGAGTCCGAATATCCCGTACACTAAATATTTAACTGGATAAGTACTTGAAATGTGTACCCATGACATGCAGCCAAAAGAGGGAAGGGATCCATTTGAAATCACCACTACTTTGTATGTTCAATTATTACTCCATTTTTAAATCACTACATAGTCCAAGCAAAATTAAAACCAAGGACAGAATCTGTTGAATTGCGTTATCAGTGTAATTCTGCCCACACATACTCCTACAGTTTACATTTGCCAAATGCCAGCGATTCCATATCTATGCCCTGCTTACACAAGAGCATATTGCATTATATTGCGACTCTGTTAAAGGTGACACATTATTGTAGATTGGCTTAATGATTGCATACTACCCGTCACATCTAATCATCTGTCGTCGCACTAAACGATAGTTCCCCCCTCATGTTAACAAAAGTATAGTTATCAAATCGGGATGAAGGAACCAACGTTTCATAACTTAAATCTACTTCTGAATTGCCCTTTTCAAAAGGCGAAAATACAAATTATACCCTGAACTGGTGGTGGTACTTTTTTCCAGGCTATGTGGGATAGCAAGTTTAGTCCAACGGTATCGGCACCAATGCGGCCTTCCCAGCATATTGTGACTGGGCAAGTCCCCCAAGGGTGTACTAAAACGCGTGTTACAAGGGTGACACTAAAAGTTCTCAGAAAATCAAAAACTGAAAAAAACTGTCCATTTAAATCAATACATCGCTACATCCGATGGTATCACAGAAAAGCACTTTTCCCACTCGTCCTTAGGGGTATCTTCGACGGCATTTGGAATAGCAGCCACTGCTTCCTCGGCGTCCATAAAATGTTTTTCTTTTATTTTCGGAAATAAATAACAATCGCAAGGTCCGAGGTCAGGGCTATAGGGCGGGTGACCCAGTAATTCCACGTCTGACGTCGCCAAGTAGTCGATTGTTTACTTGGCGGTGTGCGACGAGGCGTTGTCGTGGTGAAGGAGGATCCTACTGCGAGGTCGTTTCCCCCGAACTTTTTCCAAGACAAGTGGCAAACCATTGTTAGTGTACCACTCTGCAGTAACTGTTTTCTCCTCCTTTAGATCCTCTAAAACAATTGTGTAGTGACCTGTCCTTTCGAAGAACGAGGTCACCTCTTTTTTGCCACGCTTCGACCTCTCTTCACTTTAGTTGGCAACTCCCCGGAAGGACACACCCAGACAGCAGACTGTCTCTTAGTTTCAGGATCATAACAATAAATCCAGCTTTCGTCATCCTTAAATACGTTGAACACAGCATTTGGGTTACCTCCGTTAAATCTTTGAACCATTTCACGATACCAATATGTGCTAAATGTTCGTGGAGGATTTTGTGCACTTGACTCATACCGAGGCCTAATCTTGTCCGAATCTGCTTATAAGTCAATCTTTTGTCAGTCTCTTACGCCGCAAAAGGCTGATGTTATCTTCAGTCGCCGTAGAAGGCCGTTCCCTCACGTAGATCATTGGTGAGATTAGTGCGACCACGTTTAAACTCATTAAACCAGTTGTAAACAGTGGCACGAGATGGGGCTTCATCGTGAAAGGCCAATCGAAAGTCTATCATATTTTTCTTGTTGACTTCATGCTGACGTGATACAGACAATTTTCAATTTGCCGCCAAATCGTAAGCGAATAACAAATTAATAAAATACATACACAGTAATATTGGCAAAGAGTTCCATTTTCAAAATTTGAACTTATTTTTTTATTATATGGTTTACAAGTTGCCAGTTCTAAAAACTTTGTTTCGCTCTCTTAATGCAAGCCAGGGAGATTATTTCTTAATTCGACTTACCACACACCGCTCGGATTTAAATAGACATCTGCGGCATTCGCTCTAAGCGGAAGGATATACCTACATTGACATGTACAATGTTACATCCTTTCGTGTTGCATTTTAATTCACTCACATATACAACGCCACCGTTCACGTACTTACAATGAAAATCTTATTCATAATAAATGGGATGACGGCTTTTTCTAAATTAACATAGTTGTAAAAACGGTATCTTAGACGCCGCCAGTGTATAAACTTTTAGTGGTACAATTACAATAGATTCGGGCGACTTAAAACATGAAGTAAAACAGTTAATTGCTATGCAGAAATAATATGATATGTGTGTACCTATGCTATGGAAATATCCACAATGCTATATTTTGTATTGCATGCTCTGAAGGGCACCCATTCCGCGTATAAACTTCAAGCGCGGAACACTAGATGCAGTAGCAACTTGGTAAGACATACAGGAAGCTATTGGATGCAGAAGGTTCAGGACCGTGCTTTGTGAAGGCCTATATTCGGTAGTGGACTTGTGTCATATATCTATCATACACAACAACACACCACCTTGACTCCACCTCCACGAAATGTTTTTTTGTTTCCTAATGAGCCATAGTAAATTAAAGTAACGTGATACTGACGAGCACCTCTCATCACCAGCACATGCCGGTACCTTGGCGCAGTTTGCTCCTATCGCCTCCGGTGTGGGCGATCATCATCACGCACGGTGCTTCCGTCTTCGGATACTTCACCGTAGTTAATCAGTTGCCCACCTACATCGAGAGCATCCTACACTTCAACATCAAACACGTAAGTTTTTAAGCGTACTCCACAAAATATATACATATAAAATAGTTATTCATGTCTTAATGGCATGCATGTCTGTCTGTCTGTTTGTATATCTGTACGGGCTAATCTATGGCTGAAACGATTATAATGAATGTTCACGAACAGATAGCAATGCCAGGAGTGATCTGGGCTGTGTTATATTACCCGAAAATCTTGAAGATATTTTTTTATAGCATTGGATGACAAACGAGCACACAGTCCACCTGATGGTAAGTGGATGCTGTGGCCCATAGATATACACATTTATCCTAAATTAAGAATCAAAATGCAAATGCGTTGTCACCCCTGAGGACTAAGATGGAATACCTCGATTCCGTTAAAAAAGGTATCTGGTTCTCTACATTCACTTTACGAAATACAGCAGCAATAAGGTGCTATTTTACGCTGGTATTCTGTGAGAGCGTGGTCCAGCCCCGGACGAGCCGACCCATTCATGCTACAGCTATAATATGGCTGCAGCGTGGCTCTACCACGTAAAAATTATATTAATATTTTTTTGAGAAATCGAAATCAAAGACATCTTAAATCACAACCATACCACAGTAATAGATTCTAGACGTAACGACAGCCGTTCGTGAACGCCGACTTTAAAGAATTAAAAACAATAATTTGACATACTGAAGTCGGTGCTTAAAGTCGGGTCTTAAATAGACTGAGGGAATTCACAATCTAAATGTCGACGACATGTCGTCAAAATTGTTACATTGATTACCTTCATCGCTGTGTTGCTACACTGTGGAAATTTTTCTCCAAATTTGGAGGTGCTGAATATCTAATAAATAAAATATAATTGTGTATAATAACATACAATCTAATTTTAAACCTTCTTTTTTGAAGTCTGCTAATTATAAAATAAGATGGATAGAATATTTAATACTTACGACAAATTAAAAAAATACAAGTACCACGTTTTTTTTCTTCATATAATTTCATTGTCTTCTGATTCTGAACTACATATGTTCAAAATTTCAGTTTAAATAGGGTTCCGTAGAAAATTCACCAAGGTTACGCTAAATTATTTATTTTTGCCTGTCAAATAACAGGTACAAATGTTGTTTAGAAATGCGCAAAATATGATGAAGAGAATGCGTTACTATTATGTAGGTTCGTAGTTAGCGAGAATAATATTATAAAATTTAAATTGCACTGTCTATGATATGTAACCGTTTGATATGGGGTTCCATAAGATAAAAGGGATTTGGTGGATGTTCCATTATCTTAAATGTTTGTGAACCCCTGCTCTAGCCCATCGGGAAGTTATACACGAAAGCGAGTTAATTGAACGTGCTAATGAAAAGAATATGTTATGATATGATATATTTTAATCTATTGCAATTTGTAACTAATAAAATATTTTAATTTGAAATTTTCTGTATTTTTCTCTTTGTAAATTGTGACAACTTATTACAATTTTAATATAACTGCCATTTTGCAACAATCTCAGCAAAACGTTTAGCTACACCTCGTTAAAGTAGGAAGCAGACATGGGACTTGGGAAGGAAACATTTTGCAGTTCTTTTTTATTTTGTTAGTATAAATATTTTAATTATTTATTGTCTTTTTTATAATTTGCTTTAAATAACGAACATTTAGTATATACCTATGAACTACTGTGATGTGTAGACACATTTATCCACATTCCATGAAGAATCAAAATATGAGATACGTGCATTACGTGCATTGATTGGAGTTATCAATCACTTCGTTATAAACTATAATAAGAATAATAAGTCGGTGTTGGTATTTCGGTTATATGTATATAATATATATTACCACTACAATAAAGTCCAAAAAGGGACAACCGATGGGGAAAAAGGTTCTCGAGTGGCAGCCTTGTACCGGTAGGTTTAGTGTAGGGCGACCCCCCACTATATATGATAGAGTGCCGACCTGGTAACAAATGAAAGAAGTAGATGGATGCAAGTGGCTCAGGACCGTGCGTTGTGGCATGCCTTGGGGGAGGCCTATGTTCAGCAGTGGACTTGTGAAGGGCTGTAAAGATTATATATATATATAAAAAAAAAATATAAATATATGTGTGTAGTGTGTGTGTGTGTGTGTGTGTGTTATCTTTTAAAGTATACAATACACCAACACAACATGAAATTTAGTAGAGTTACCCATTTTGCAATATAAACGCTCAATAAGAACCGATTTTACGATGGTCCCATAAAAAATTTCGTGATATTTATGTTACGTTATTTTCGCGCCCAGCGAAACGAGTTGATATCAGCTACTGTTAAAATATAGTAAACAAACAAAGTTGCTAGGTACGGCGCGGTATAGAGCTAAAAATAAAAACGCCACTGGCCACAGCGTATGCGCGATAAACGTAAAAGTATGCTATTTACGCCAATATAAAACAAAATGACTAGCATCATCGTTATAGTAGCTTCTAGTATTAATTACATAGAATTTCTATGTAATTTCTATGATAGAAATTATCTTTAGTTCCACTCTCCCACGGTTGAGTTTTTAAAATTATTATTATTACTTAAATATAAATATGGCGTTTCATTATGATATATTTTCCTAAATTATCCTTTCTTTAGCCAATCAAGTAAGATGTAGTGAATAATGAATCTACTCTTTGTAAACTAGTTTTATTATTGTTCAAATTGCACAGATAAAATATGCTGATAGTTTTACGTTGCTAAAGATTTCAATTCTTTGAGAAATGCTATGCTTTTGGAATATATCGTGATCGTCTGTCTCAGTGGATCAGTACCACTAACTTAATAGATCCTGTTGAAAATTTACTGTTGAATGTTCTAACAATAAATCATAATATGTATGGTTGTTGCGTGGAATTGTATTACACGTGCCGATGTCCGTGCATCTCACTGAGAATATAATAATTTATAATGAACATTGTATTGATTACGTTCGCTCCACGTGCAATGTTAATATTGTTTACTTTCAAAACCATAATATTTACCTTATAATAATTTAAACTAAGCACTGTTAAAATGGCTGTGAATCATCTGTTTCTAGAAATTGGTTATTCATTATTTATTTTTTTGTGGTGGCAACACCCTTATATTGTCATTACTCGTTATATTGAAAATACACTCGCATTAAAACATGAATCAAACTGTAATTCGATTCATGTTGTAAACAAGTTTTTCTACTTTTCGAGTTAAATCGCTAATCAAACAGTGGTCAGCAACTTTGACACAGAAATATTATGTAATGTTAATTTATTACTTTAAAATCAGAATATGTAATTTTAGCGACAAAACTACCGTTATGAGGATGTCCATAAAATGTTTTCTTAACCGCAGTCTCTTATTTGTGCGCCCTCCTTTCTGCCAAGGAGGGTCGTATACGGCTTAGAGATCTCTAGTGAGATCGTTAAGCCAGTTCCTAAAAGGTTGGGTTTAGTGGGTAAAAGTCACCACATAACCACGCAGCCGGCTGCGTGGTATGCTATGAGCATTCCCAACCTCCCTCCCCCGCTTTCCGGAGGGTTGCCCATATTTGCTTCGGGCGCAAAAAAAAACAAACACAAAAAAGTCTCTTATTTGATTAAGCTGATTATATTACATATTTATTTATAAGGAATACTTTTGTAATTTTTTTAAATAATATTAACAATGCTATAAACATTACTAATATTCCCCTTAACCACTCGTGGTAAGCTTAAACTGCTTGTGTTACGAGTGGTTCATGCCAGTAGTCGAATGGCGGATTATGTACAAATATTTGAAAACCCCTATAAATTTCAATGTAAATTCTATTTTTCGTTTTTGTAAGTACTAAGTAGTTAGTTTTAATTTGAAATTGTTACAATTTTCTAAAAATTTAAATTTTTATCATTCTACATTTCAATTGTTAAATTTAAGCCCTTTCAATTATGCTCTTGTTTTCTGGATATTTGTCGAACAAAAGATGTGTATAATTTTTTTAAACGGTGCTAATTTTTATTGCCTGTGAAAAACAGTTGCTAAATAAAGAAATTCTATCCAAAATTTATGCATATTACATTCTTTATCAATTTATGAAATCATGACATTATAAATTGCTCTCAGTGATAATAACCAACTATTTTTGTATATAAGTTAAGTTTTAACTTTATGCAGAAAATTTAAATTGTTATTGAAATACATAGTTTATTGCGTAGATATCGTATTTCAAACTTTTTATAAAAGCCGTTTCGATTTAATTTTGCTTGACCACTCAATAAGTTGCAAAGGATAAACTTGAATCACGCAAGGCTCCCGGATTATTGCATCAGTCAAGAAGTGGACAACCTCTAATTTTATTTGTGTTTTCTGGTTGCCACACCTCAAATAACATGAAAATCATGGTAACGATCCTTGGTTTAAGTAAAAAAATAAAAAATATTATTGTATTGCGATAATTCGTCTACTCGTTATAATGATCATCTATTCTTTGATTGCAATGCACCTTATGTACATATTTTTCTAATTCCTCATTCAATTATCTATGCCTTTGCCTGCATGCATCCTTGATTTTTTTACTCCCAGGTCGGGGTCACTTAAAATTGAGGTAAAATATTTGGCAGATAACATGGTAAGGAAGTTAATTTGTGAGGAAAACGCAGGAGCTAATGTTTATTTTTGTAATATTAGTTGTATTTTATATTTATTAGATTAGATAGGTATAAACCAAACTGTTGATATTCCTGAAAGTAGAAAAATGAAAATAAAATTAATCAGTGTGAAAAATACTGAGACTCTAGAAACCGATAAAATTTTATATAAAACGCAATTTCTCAATTATATGATATTAATTAACAAAAAACTTCACCTAAATACCTACTAGCGACATCTGGTGAAACTTTTTCGATATCAATTTGAAAATGTTTAGTAAGAAAAGTGAGTTTGATTTACTACGCAGTGGCGCGAAGGGCGTCATTTTCGTTTGTTTCATAAACCATGAACCGAAATATCTTTTATCCTTATTCTGATACTCTTCCTTTTCTCATCATTTTCTTT